TATATGATACCATGACGGGCTTTCGAATGAATTGTCACGGAACAGTATGGAAACAGTCTAAAGCCAGAAAAATTGTTTACAATGCTGGCAATAGGAAATCGTGCTGTAAAAGTCACCTGTTGTCAAATAGAATTACATCAAGTCTTCTTTTAAACTCCGCTATTGTGTCAGCGGAAACAGTCTCGCTTGGTAGCAAGTTACAAGGTCGGACCACGCGTTGGCTGGGGAAATATTTTCGGAGGTCCAATAGAGTGCGTTCATTTGTGTCCTTGTAAGGATGGCCACGCAGGTGAGTTGTGTTGGCTAATTCAAAGAAATTCTCCAATTTCAGGGAGGAACTGTGGCCCCGGATTATCCGGAATGTCCAGAGCAGGCTGTACTTAACGTTCCTGTAAGACAAAGGAAAAAGGTCAAGCCTGATCAATCTCTCTAGATATGTTAAGTCCCTGAGACCATCGACCATCTTTTTTGCCCTGCGTTGCACTTGTTCAAGAAGGTCCATACCTTTTTTCAATCACGGGAAGCAGTTCGTTGCGAACTAGAAGGACACTTAATTTAAGAGGTTCCTGCTACGGTTTTGGATGCTGCCTGAAGAGTTCTTTGGTTTATTTTAAAACTCTGGAAAAATTAACAATTAAATTTCTTAGTCAGAGTTACTTGATGAAGGTCTCGTGGCTCTGCTTCCCTCAGAAAATTGAGCGTTGCCTTTAGCGCGGGCTGGGTGAAGAGTGAGGTATACGAGAAGAGTATACAAGGCGATGAGGAGAGCGACGGGATTAGGTGTCGAGGGAGCGGGATGTTGAGTAAGTGGGGAAACGGAGGTGGATAGTTTCAGGCGATTGAAGTATACTCAAAGATGTCTAGTGAACTGGTTGGATTCTAGACCGATAAGGCAGACGGAATTTGACATTGTTCGTAGAACAATAAAGGGCCTGGACCACCGAACTTGCTTGCAGAATCTACTGAGGGATGGTCGTTCTTCAAACAAACACTAACATCAAATTAGTATTGTGCTACATATAGCAGATTGTCATAATAATCCTTTTGATCTGAAAACGCGGCCTCCGGCTTTTTTTGTCCGTGGCGTCGATGGTTTGCATAGTCTTCGAGATTGCTAAGATAACGGTATTGCTGTTGTGTTAATAGGATGGCATTTGATATAGTTACCTCAGAGGAAAAACGAATATCGCGTAAGAGTAGAATGCGGCGTGGTTTGCCAAAAGATATTGGGAAAGAAAGTCATCCCAGGAGTCCGCATGGAATTGATCGACCATGCTGCGATTAACCGTTATTAGGATCTTGCTCGGGCGTTCCATTTGGCCGTTTCCGGCTAAATGAAAAGAGGAGGAGCGCGTTATTGCTGTATCTAGCAAGTGACACATAACCCGGAACAGGTGACTTTCAAGGAAGGCCCTTGACATGTATTGGGAGACATATCTTGAGATCCAGTTGTCAATGAGTGCTGCTGCCATAATGAGACTTTCTAGGTTGCGTAGTATAATGGCTCTGCACAGCTCCATGGGGTAGTCAGCGATGACGAAGATGAAGCGGTTTCCCTTCTCTGTTTGACATACATGCCCAATGACATCTTAATCGATGCGGTAGTTTGGAAATCATGCTGACAGTGGTTCCAGCAGCGCCTGTGAATGGTCTACAAGATTTTTCTTTTGGGCACTAGTCTGCCACCCCTGGAACAGGAAAACTACGCCACTTCGCCAATTGGGCCACCAATATCCCTGACGGATTGTGGCGAGGCTTATAGTCTGTCCACGATGCGTCCGTTCTTCATGGGTATTACGCATGACTTGGTGTCTAAGAACGCGATGTATGACTAAACGTTGGGCGAGGAACAGATGGTGCTGACGAAACTGGATATTTTAAACCAGACGAAAAAAAGCCAAATCGACCAGAGACCGTGAGCTTCCGGTTGCAACTTTCCATTTAGTGAACCTTGGGTTGACAGGAGCCGTGTTGCTGTCTATCGTGTATGAGGGAGTTAATGGGGTCAGATGCCTGCAGTTGGGTCCATTGTTCTTGAGCGAGGTGTGAGATATGCATAGCTAGTACTGGAAAAGTGATTTCCCGTGTCATGGTCGGAGGAAATGGTGGGCAAGACAGCGTCAGCGTTAGCGTATTGTTTGTCGGGGCGATAGCGCAACAGCGACGTCAAATTCTTCGAGTAGTTCCCGCTGTCTGGCGATCTGACTCTCAACGTTTTTGAAATTCCGAAGCCACTGGAGTGCCTGATGGTCGGTGTGGACGGCAAAATGTTTTGCAAGAAAAGGTGTTGGAATTTTTTACGAAGATTACCAGAGCCAGCATTTGCCGGCTTGCGCTGCTATAACTACGATGACCTTGCCCAAACATCAGCTAGAGTAAGCTGTTACGCGATCATGGCCGTCCACATCGATTTGACTTACGACAAAGTCAGTGGCAAATCCACTAGCATCAAGTATTCTTACTATGAAACCGTAACACGTACAATGTTTAGTTATTTTATT